TTCATTAACAGAGACATAATGAATGATAAATGTCAGTAGTAGAAAAAATTAATTAAATTATTGTAATATTTATGATCTATTCAAATTACTAGGTGTATTTTGTTGATCTGAATATGTTTCGTTTTGACAGTATGATAAGTTACAGTGAGATAAACATACATAGCTGATGACATAGGAAACATGGTAAGTCAATAAATTTCAGTTGGATTTGAAAAGGTATTAATAATGGCTGAATTGTGTATTTTAATTAAATAAACATTCGGTTTGATATTAAAGTACCTAACAATAAGAGATATTAGAGAACAAGTGGATTTAAAAAGATTAACATCTCTATACATAGTTTGTAAATTTTTATACACTTAAACTTCAGGGAATTTTATCAGTAACCAAAGCAAAAGACTATGTTGCTTAAATTTTCTAGAGATAGAAAACAGTCAACACAGAAGTATTATCATCTCAACTTAGTGTAATAAAACTACATTCATTAGATAATTATTATGATAACTAATGAATCATTTACGAGTTCTATCTTAAGCTCATTTAGCATATTACAGAGAGCATAAACTCATGGTCTAACATAGATTTCTCATTTATTCACTTATTATATGGTTAACAAACGAAATTCCTTGGTTATCACGTTACATGAGATGAATTATCAAACGAGAGTTGAAAATTCATATGGATCAATCCACACATAATTGAATGTTTCATAAATACATATTCATTTGATGTTAATTTTCTCTTGTAAACAATTATCTCACAAGTTGTCAAATATCCTCTAATTTTTTGATAATATAGAAATGATCTATTTCTTTTTGCTGTTTAAAACCGAATAAAACAGCAGACTGAATAAATCATTTAAACGAATATTATAGTTGAAATCATGAGTACATTGAAGATAGACCACCATGGAAAACCTGAAAGCACTGAACGGCCGTTTCGTCCGATTGTAGAACTCCTCAGCAGTGCGCATCCATGATCCCGCCTCACAAGATTCGAACCCAAGACCTATCAGTCTCGTGCGTCAGCGCTTAACCTCTAGACCACCAAGCCTTGGATGCGCACTGCTGAAATTCCCACAATAGGACGAAACGGTCGTCCAGTGCTTCCAGGCTTTCCATGGTGGTCTATCTTCAATTGACTCATGGGCTCAACTCTATACAAATTACTAAAATCTCTACAAAAAAACCCTTCTGATTTAATATAATTGACATGGAAAACTTCATCGATAAAACTCTTCTAGCACTTGGGAATATTCGAAAGGAAATCACGCGTCATATATCACGTACAATAATTCAAAGGTCAACCTTTCTCTTAATACTTATGATAACGAAATTTTTTACAATGAATCAATTTAAGTTAATCGATATTTAAAGATAAGGCAAATGAGTTATAATCATTCATAAATATTATTTTATTAATTCAGTATTTTCAGTATTCACTGGAATATACATAGAACTTCTAGGAACTTTTTTGTTCATTATTATTATTATCATTAACTTTGTTCAATATTATATTTTTGGTACAATATAGAAATCTCAGAACAACGTATTTCAACAAGTTTACGTTTGTTACTTCGTGATCAATCCTGACAACACATATTAAGTGATCGCCTGTTAGAAGTTAGTAGTTAAGTCAATCAAGATCTAAATAATGTACATTCTTTTCGCTACATATTGCCAGCAATCATAATATCTCTGATTGGGCCTTTGTAACTTGTACAACAAAAATTTGTACACTTTTCAAAAACGCACAAAATTAGATAAATTGTTGAAATATCTAGATAGCAGGAACAGGTAGCCCATATGTTCAAGCAGGCCGCCTTTTAGTAAGAGAAATCTGAACATGAGTGTAATTTTATTACTGATTTAATTTTATATAGCTGATGTTAGCCACACTCTTCTGTTAAAATCTTATCCCGTGTAGCATATTGACAAGCTAGATGGAAAACACAAACATACTGAACATTAGAGAATCAGATGAAAATTTTAATGAAATTACACTATAGTATGTGGCAGTCATCCATTAAATGAATGTGAAAGTAATCAAATGTGTTGAGCATTATATATTTAGTAAACAGTGGAAGTTGTAGATCACCTCAGCCCTAAAAAACATAACATGTGGACAATCTGGTTTTTAATAAGGTTAGATAAAGTTCAAAAATTTAGCTTTCTGAATAGATCAGAATTTATAGTCTTTATAAGAACTTCACAACTAAACAATAAATAATAATAATAATATACGAAAAAGTTGATGTATAGACGGAAAGAAATCATGCTATGTTGAATTAAAATATTTATTCAAAGAAATATGTATTAATATGAATAATTGTTAGTGAATTATTGAAAGATAGTTTATAATAAACCAACATTCAAAACTGTGGACGACAAGACTATAATTTATGGACGAACCGACCAGGTATAAGATAACAGTTCCCAGATAATAGTTCTCGCAAAATTCAATCATCAATTTGGCTAAATAGAGTTTTGGCATTACAGCTTATGTCAGTTTGTGATGAAAACCCTAAATATGGTATCTAACCTTAACCATCAGCTGTAAATCATAATTCGGATTCTTTACACAGGATTCTAACCCTCATTCAGTCCTAGTTACTAGGTGATCACCCTCAACGTCAGTCTAGCATCGCTCAAAGGTTGTCTATAAATTATAATCTAACCCTGTGATATCGACCATATCTTCACCAGAACAAAAACCAGTCGGCTCCTCGAGAGTCAATCTTTCTCGAGTTTTGAACAATCTAAGAAGTATGACGGAAGCCAATAGTTTGGACGCAATTAGAATTAAACTTATACCCCGATAGTTGTTACGGGAACCACGTGAACCATTTTTAAAGATAGGAAAAACTACCTACTCATTTTATGATGTTGGAACAATCTAATTCCCAGACCTTTGGAAAAAACTTAGTCAGTTCCTTAACCAAAACGTCACCATCATCTTTAAAAAGGTCATCTCGGCCTGGTGATTTGTAGCGTTTCAAGAGTTGGAGTTCCTTGCGAACTTCCGCCTCGTTAGGTGGATCAGTCGTCAAAGGCCATAGAGGGTAGGACAGTTTCATCGGTGCTGCCGAGTCAGCAGACCAGTTGAACCGCTCCTCGAGAAATTCTGCCCATCTTCCAAAACGTTGACAGACGTTATTTAATGGCATCCCGTCATTTTCACAGATCGTTTCAGTCACACTAAACTTCTTGCTCCCATTGACTCGGATGAGTTGAAAGAGCTTCCATAAGTCACCAAATGCAGCTGCTACTTTCAACTCATTGACACACTCCAACCACCAGGCTTCTGAGTCTTTACGCAAGCTTTGCTCAATTTCACTGCGTAACAATCTTCTTTTTCTGTCAAACTCACTGTCATCCGGAGTAGAGTGATGGGCTTCAATGAGTTATAGTAAGCCTGACGTTTCGCTAAACCGAAAGTGACTTTACTCACCATTTTCATGGCGTCATGCAATTTGCAACCAATGCTTATCTATACTTTTCTGTGGCCTGATAGCTAGCTAGGAGTGGTTGCCTCTTACACAACCACGCCGGCGGTAGCAGATTATGATGTGATCGATCTGATTCTAAGCTTGAGATGCAGAGGGAGGACGGCAGGTGGCACACCAGCGGTGACTGCCGGTAGTTAGTGATAGTCAGATAGTTTGTAGTCTGCGCACAGTCGCAGTAGACAGTCATCGCTATCTGACCTGCGACCAACAAGTCCACATCGGCAACCCAAACGACTCACTTCTGTGCCTAGACGCCCAACCTGGGTATTTAGGTTTCCACGAAATTGAGCAACCGTCCGCCATTGTCTTCAGTGAGTTAGTATCTCACAACAGACCAGGTTGAACTACGCGGGTTACTGCTTCTCACTAGGACTACAGGAAATACCGCTTGAAGCCAATCACTAGTGAACACATGATTATTATTAGAAGGGGTTTTGTGGAGATTTTAGTAATTTTGTAGTTGAATCGGATTGGTTGAAGTTGAACATTAACACCGTCGGTCTAAAGGTTAATTGCTAGCGCGCGAGACTGGTAGGTCCTGGGTTCGAATCTCGTGAGGCAGGATCGTGGATGAGCACTGCTGAGGAGTACCACAATAGGACGAAACGGCCGTCCAGTGCTTCTAGGTTTTCCATGGCGATCTATCTTCAACCGACTCATGAATTCAATCATAGAATTTAAGTTTCCGGATAGTACTACAATACCTATCGAACACACTTTTTGTAGTAGAACAGTTAATTGGTGGTAAAACTTATCATCGATCGCGTCTGGTTCGCAATCTGTCGGAGCGTATGCGATGACTAAAATACATAGTTTCCCACACCAATTTCTCCGTACTTTGATGGAACTTTCTAATCTAACGGCACATAACCAACTGTTAAATAAGATCCAACCGGTCAATGCTATCTCAGCTCTGGCACATAGTGCGGCACCAACAACAAAACCGGACGAATATGCCGCAGAGTTTCCGGGTAAACGCAAGCAAAACTCCCCTAAGGTGGACCCTCCGTGTTCAACAACCCGATTAAGACGTCGGATATTTGCTTTCCGTCCTCTCAATTTCGTAAATAACACCCTCACTGCGAGAAGGTAGTAAGACTTCTCTGGCAGTTTCATTATCTAGATGACATAGATATTCTGCATTAGAATAGAATCGCAACTATGCAGTAATAATGCGTCAATTCAACAATCTATAATTACATTTATATAATCATGACAACTAAACAAATCATTAGTTGTTGAGAAAGTTGGTATCATGTACAAATATATATATATATATATGACAATTTGGAACTCGTCCAAAAATAGAGCATATTTCCTCTTATGACAACAGCTTTTTTTCTTAAACACATATTATGTGGATTGTTCTGGAAAGCACCCATGTACAATTTTTGTCATTTTTCAAATCAAATCTAATGTAGAATCTCATGAAGTACTTCATACTTTGCGCAAAATACACAACCACTTTCTTGTTTATTTTCTGTTATTTCAGTTGCAACTAGATGTCAAATGGAATCGGAAATTGCACGAAATGTTTTTAGAGACACGATCGATTATCGTACAGATGATCCGTACATTGAAGATCTAATTGACATTTGGTTGAGAAAATGCATTCGGTCAAAAAGTACTAATCAAAGTAATTAATTAGTTGGTTGCTTTTTAAAATATTAAGGGCATTTATTTTATTGAATTATACAGCTGAATTTGAATTGCGAATAAAAATTCAAATAATATGTTCTGATGCCCTATTGGTTTAAGCATAAATGCGTTCACCAACGAAAGTTGTCTACAATACTTTGATTATATTTGTTTGAAAAATGCCATCTGATCGTTACACAATAATTTGTTGCAAATTTAATAACAGTATGTAACTACAGGTACAAATATGCGTGTTTGTATTGCGTTTAAGGTTCATGCAAATCTCATTATACTTACTGTAGTTATAAAATAATGAAATGTAAAAAATTATATAATTCTAAAAATTTGTATATACAGTGAGGGAGGTTAGATCCTCAAATTGCTTAATTTTGAGAAAGTTAAGTGCACAAGTTGTTGTCCTGCATCTGAGATACTGACAGCCTTAACTACGATTTATTATAAACAAATTCAATGTTTTGTTAGATATTCAAATCCTATCCTTAAAGCACAAAATTATGAGAAAAACTAACTCAGAACCGTTCCAATTAGTTTTATAATCCCCATCTTCATTACAATCCATGGACGCATCATGCTGTTTTTGACGTACAGTAAGTTCGCGCCGCCAAAATAATTGAAAGTAACATGATTTTTGCAGACTATTTAAACAATCAATAAACGGAAATTGTATCACCCATCGCGAATCAGCTTTGTTTTATGCAAATTATGATTTCGTAATTTGTAAAACAAGATTCAAAATAAGGATGATAGTAACATTAACTAAATTAGATTGATAGAGAAAAAGGCCAATTGTTTTAGTAAGCTCCAAACTGAATTTTAGAATAACAGTAGAGAATATATATCATTATTATTTTAATGTACGTACTAATAAGTCTGATTCTTGTTGTCACACTCTCTTTAGATGGCAGAAACACAGCAAAACTTGAAAAGTTTGAAAGGATAGAAAACTATACTCGTGTCAGTGTAACTTAACAAAAACTTCGCAATCAACTTTTTAAGTTAACTTTTCGGGTCATTCATTGATGTGTCTTTTTATAGTTATTCGTAGTAGTTACACAATACCCTAAACTATTAGTCTTCAACGTTTCTTTAAAACTAATACCATGAAAATCGTAATTTGAGATTATCTTTCTGTATAAATATTTGTACTTCAACAAGTCAGTAAATGCATTGTTTTTTTATTTTTAGGAAGCATACAGAAGCGCCCGTACTACGGCTGAGGCTGATTGCAATGAATATAGTGAAAATGTACACAACTTATTTCCAGTTGATTATTACTTTCTTTATTGAAAATATACTATGATAAAGCTTCTTAGTTACAATATTGGCCTTAAAATTAGTTTAGCCAATGCTATGAATAAAATAAATTTCCATTAGGAAGGTGAATACTAAATCCATAGATAAACGTACCATAACCCACTAGTTTAGTGACTTGTTTCTTGTAAAACATCGTTTCCGATTTTTCACACTAATAAGCATCCATGTAATATATGCAAAAACATTATTCATGTAATCATGCTAAGTTAATACAGCGACATTTTTGAGCACTTGGTACTTCATAATGTTACTAAGACAACCAGTACAGATATTATATCTATATGGGATATAAACTCTTTATTCTGTAAATGTCCCACTGAATGTTTAAATGGAATAATAAGTAACAAAATACCTAAGAAGAAATGAAGAATTGGAGAATTTCGGTATTGAGATACGTCATTTAGTCAACAATCAGTAATAACGGTCCTTAGATTTTATCAACGAGTCCTACAGCTTAAAAAGACTCACAAAATAAATGGGTTCCATCCGAAACGTATCTCACACATGGTTGAATGTCTTTTAGTTCCCGGGGTTGGTTCTTTAATGGTGATAATTCACTAGACATTTTATGATGAGGTCATCAGGGTGACCATTCTTGAGGAGTTTCCCCAATTTTTCGCATAGTGAGCGCTGAAGCGGATTCTTGGCCTTCCGTTTTCAACCTCATTACCTGGTTGCTTTTTTACTCTATACTACACCATTAACAACAAAACCACACAAGTGGTGAGTACACACCATCGGTGGTTAGAACTGCGTAACCTAGTATCCAAAATTTGACAGAAATTTTTATCAACATCACGGTAAAGTACAGTTAGGTCATTATGCAAAAAATCTGAAAATTGGTAAACAATTTCGAAGTGTCGCTACATGCAACAATTCCTAAAAGACGTTTTCACTGAATGTGAAGTTCCGTAAAATTTACACTCAAAAAATACATCAATAAATGAAGCTAACATCCTGAACCTTTCTCGTCATTTCCCATTAAGAGGATTGAGTGCTAATAGATTATGGTGTGACGCTTATAACTCAATTACAAAATACACACCTTGACTTCTGTCAATATTTTGAGATCTTGAGTTTATCAATCGCAAAATACTCAAATCACACACTTGACATTAAAGCTATAGAGGTGAAGTGAAAGTATCTTCCAAGAACTTCATTCGTGTAAATGTTTTCTAGTCCATGATTTAATTGTACAGAATTTTCGCCATAAACCTCACATTATTGTGCACTTGACTCCGATAGGTTTTTTGTAGTTAAGACTAGACAGAAAAACCAATAAGTATAATAAGTATGCCAAGAAAACGCAAAAAGACACCAGAAAAATCCACTATTTGTATATCTTAGTACCTTTCTTTAAAGAGAAAAGAGACCCATATGACTGGATTCTGTTTTCAATCGAAATTAAATGTTAGAACTAAACCGTTCTTCCTAAGCAACCACGTAAACTTGAAACATGCACAATTACACGGTAGATAAGTGATGATAACATTGAAACATAAACGCCTCCTTTGGAATTTTGTACGAGTCCGAATTCCAGTGATTATTTCTAGGATATTCACCTATGAAAAAGGCCTCATCTGTTATTCCCCACTTCGTACATTAATTTTTATGTAAAGAAACATCTACCAGCAATCATGAGGTCAGTTTTAGAAAATAAATATCAACAGATTCCAAAATATATCAGTTAATCACAACAGACAGAGACACAATGTCAGGCAACTTAACTACAGCAAGTATACTAGTACATTACATAGAAGTGCAATAAAGTAACTTTTACAGGAAATGTCTAAACGTCTGCTTACTTTCTCGGTTAACCATGCTACAAAGACCCTCTAAGATGAGATAAATCTCTAGCGGATGCTGAGAAGTTTGACATCATTTGAAAATTATAACTCACGACGACCGAAAGTAAGCAAATAACCATAATCTCCAGAGGAGACCATACTCGTACAGTAATAATTCGAACTGAAACGATCAGTTCTGGATATGTCATGTTTACTGGTGCTTGTATGCAAGGGTTAGTTGTTGAATCCTTAAAGTAAAAGATAGAGACCTAGTCACGTCTCTGAAAAGCACCATTGAGGTGCTTCGTAAGAAATAACTAAATCAACAATGTAACATCAGGAAGAATTAAAAATCACTTAGACTGGCATTTGCGTAGTTTCATGAACCACTGTGTTAACGCCTGTGACGTGTAAGAGCTTTATACCAATACTAATTTTGCTTACTATTTTAGATACACCTTCTGGCGAGAGTAATTGACATCGAGTCCTGTTCGAATATAACCTAAATGCAGCTTAAAGTTGTGACCTAGGGATAGAGAGAACAGCGTTACAAACTATGACAAAACTATCCAACATCCAATATACGCACGGATACTTCTATAGCACGAAATCAAAAGGACTAAAGATTAAAACTGACGAACCATTTCATTAACAAAAGCGCAGCGGTTTCAAATTGCAGTGTTAACTTGTGTAAGATACTTAAGTTCCCCACTTAATACCCAATAACCATAAAACTAAGGTTTCGCAGTACATTAAAGAGAATTTAATTGACATTACAGCTTACAATATCTATCGCTGGAACCTGGCAGGTCAAAACGGGTACACAAACGTAAATGGTACGAAAAACAGGCTGACTGGGAAAAAACTGAAGTCGACACTCAGTAGTGAGGTACTTGTATTTAAAGCACTTCTGAGATTGAGTTAAATCGATATAGCTAGTAACTTTCTAGCCAAGGCAACTGAACATTGTGTTGAATTCAGAATCTGGTATTTCAAAATCTGATGGATCAAACTGATCACAATCCTCTACAAGTACTAATCAAAAACAACAGGCCTCACCATTGACTGAAAATCCAACAAAACCTGGAGGATGACTCATGCAGGAAAGAGAAAGCACTCCATCGACAAGTGAGTTTATATTATCAAGGCGAGTGCATAAATCACCATAGTCATCTGAAATAAAAGCTGTTCGATATGAGCACAACCTCTGTCTTCGTATGCACAGAATTTCTCGCATGCTTCCCCATAAATGTTTTCCGGAACTAGAGTTTTAGAGGGTCGCTGTATTTCTGACTGCACATGAACATGCTGCTGAATGTTCAGATCTCTCAATCCTAGTTTGCGCCTTGCATTACTTAAAAGAGGAGTTTCAGCCTTCAAGTTCTCACGAATGTGAGAAGAGTTTTCTGTTTGTCCACCTAACCTAAGCATGTCCAATTCTTTTAAAATGTCACAACGACCTCAAATTATGTATCCACAAAGAAATGAAAGTTGACCTTTGGTTAGTCCAATATCCAATATCTTTAAGATGAGCTCGTATTACTCGAATAATTTCTCTGTTCTAGGTCCTCAAATTTACAATACAGTTCTCAGTGCTTGAACATGTCCAGAGGGTGATAGTTTGATTACTGGATTGCACTATGTCTAGCTATTGTGGTAGTCTTTTGTGGGTGTGTATTATAGTAACAGTGTATTCAATGATTTTCGCAATGACAAAATAAAGACCACGTTTTTTATTTTCTATAGTAAACAACACTGCAGGATGTATAAAAACGTGCATGCCACCGATGTTATTCAAATAACCGTTTTCTCTGTTGTTTATTCTGCTACTTGATTGGTCACGGCCTGAGAATGTGGATTATGATAGTGTTAGGAAATCCCTTCAGATAGTTTTGCATTACGTCGGAGTCTTGTTCCAGATATGTTATTGACAAATGCCATCGGATGTGATGTTTCTCATTATGTCGTTTGCGACACTACATGCAGAGGAACCTTCGTTAATTGTTTCTCATTTCAAGAAGAGCTCACAAATAAAATTCGTTTGATAAAATTCGTTACCATTTCGTCATTTATTATGCCTTTTTGGTGCGAGTACCATTTATCATCGTTTTTCTTCATTCGAAATCAGATACTTCAGTTTGTGGTATTGATATTTTTCCGTGTATCAATAATACCTGTGCGTACAGTCATATCATGAATAAGCTGATGTATTGAGATCTAACACAATATTTTACAACTTGAGTAGGCGCATTTATTGCAGACATTAGGGTTTCTCAACTCAATAGCTATCACATTAGTGAGCAGAAGACTGATTGGTTGTAATGTGAAAAATATTTTTTGAAAATTCTGAATGTCAAAGGAAGACAATCATTTCGATGGATAAACAAATGAATAAATCAACTAATCTAAACAGTTATTCAGGCCGTAGTAGGAATCTGACGTTTAAAGTAAACTAAGGTTGACGAGATAAGAATATGTCAAGAATATCTAGCAATGATAAAACTAGTTACGTTTCGAGGCAGGAATCAGGTACAGAAAGTGCAAACGAAAGATGATGAATTTACGGGGTTACCTTGAGAAGTGTTGTGGAGACAGGACTATAAAACATATTTTGTAAACAATCTTTCATAGTTTTTGCACGTATTTTGTGTATTTTCAGATTCTGTACATTTAGCATTAAACAATTGTACTTGTTGTTTAAGTGTATTACTTTGAACAATTGTGATTTGACTTCCTACCGTTTTGAGTACAACATATCGCGACATTGTTACTACTCCTCAAAAAATACACTCTAACTAACATCTACATCGTTTTGTTATGTCTACAAATATGATAAATGAAATATTCATTGCATACCATCTCCGTTTATAGACAATTGTGACCTTCTTATTGAATCCTACGCTTGGTAAATCTACTGGATCTATATCGTCCATATTGGAATTACTAACCTTCTATAATTGTGGATTATCGGGAACAAACTCAGCTGAACGCGCAATAGCCTGAAGACTTAAGTAACGTCCCTTACTTTTATCTGTGTGTAATTAACTTATTAACTGTTAATTGTTATATAAACTTTAGACGTAATATTTTTGTTGCTATTTTTTGGTTATCGTACGTTTCGGTCCACCACAGTGTGATCGTGATGTTCTGATGGGTTATTTATGCCGAGACTAAATGGAGTAAAACATCAAGACCTTTCGAAATCTCTCTTTAACATTTGTATCTAACAATCAACTGCATAAAATCTAAGCTGTCAGAGTATTTGACTACCGAGAGTGCAGTAATAAGTTAGCATGACTACTTTTTCGACGTCAGTGAGATTTCGTCCTCTCCCTTTTCCTTCATATTGCATCTGACATCACAATCAGACTCCGGATCTATTGCTTACATCTACTAGTTATGAATATATCGCACCATTCAATTAAATAATACTTTGTACCTATTTCGGTATGCAAATAAATGCTTGCTTACGTTTCTCCCTGCTCTGCTTCACTGAGGAAGGTCTTTGACTTACTTACGCCTGTTACTCCCAATGGAGCATAGACCGCCGACTAGCATTCTCCGACCCACTCTGTCCTGGGCCATTCTTTGTTAGTAGTGGCATCGATCTCGTGACTTCTGACGAACCTCGACTTTCACCATGAGGCGTCATAAATCTTACTTCAACTCCCAGGGCGGAGTAAAAAGGGTTTGAATAATTTTTCCTGGTTAGCGTTTTCTTAGCGAGTTATTTTTCTACATAATTGGGTCTCTAGCCTCATCCCCAACCCTTCTCCTTCACCCAGTCTTGGGACCGGCAGTAGACCCCGGAGGGGCTACAGGCAGAGTTGAAAGACTTTGATAGGAGAATATAATACTGTCGTGTGTCATTTGATCAATTCTTATCTACGCGTGATCGTTGGTTCCAAGAAACTTCTTTATAAATTGTCGGCGTCAAGCGCAGATAAAAAATCCTAATTGTGTGAGCACTTTTTGTGGTAACTACTCAAAACAAACTGAAAAGTAACATCTATTACTAGTTCTTCATTATTACTTTCGTCTCTCAAAATATATTACTTTTCTATGAGTGTTACTTTGACAAATTTTCCTGCATGAAGTTCACTATTCAGTTTCGTGAAATACTACATATTCTGTTAATCATTGTATGCTTATTAAATCCTCGTTTGTGTCATTATAGACGCTGACCCTATTAGTTTTACTGGACGACATAGCTGAAAGCGCTCTTCACGTATCCTAACCACATCACGAGTGAGTACGTCATGCTATGCATCCCATGCAAATACAAGCCGGTTTTCTTCAAATGCCTCTCAATATATGGATAACTTTCATGTATCGTACAACGAAGCCTGACGCGCAATGTCCATTGCATGTGCATTTAACCCTGACAACTTCTGTCGTGTATTTAAATAGGTCGCTGCTAATGTGTTGTGATTTTATGCCCGGCTTTTATTTACCAAACAAAATGCTACTTATCCAATCTTAGCATTGTGCCATCCCAATGACGTTCGACCAGTACAAGCAGACTAGCGTCCTAACTTGTCCTTTATCCACCTAGCCCTTCCAGTTGAGTCTAGAACACCAATAACAGCTTCTGCTATGCGATTCATTTATTCCAAGCACACTCGGTTTATAAACTAGACAAACAGACCGCACCACACCATGAAATAGAAAATAATATTGGTACAAGATCAAGCCAAATGTGGCTGTGAACGTGGAGGACAGTAATCAATTAACTGAATATAATTCAGGAACATCAAATCGCATAACAATAATCTATAAATAAAAACGAAGCTTATAACAAGTGAGATATAGATATGCATAATCTAGTTACTGAACAGTTATACAATTAGAATATATATAATATTAGTCTATTAATAGATCCCGGAAGTTGCCCATATTTTAATCTTCACTAGGATGTAACATTTCCCTTCTTTTGAAGATTTGAAGTTTGGACCCTGATTTTTAAAAAAATTATCTGTAACTTAAAATTCTCCAACATTTTCCTCCCCCACACAAAATAATGTTGGATCCTCATAACTTCAATTTACAATTAATATGACTTTATTTAAAACATATTTCTCCCATTGAATGGAGAATCCGCTCGAAATGACAAGATGGTGATAATGAACGACATTTAATTTGAGGTCATCAGGGTTTGTTTCTTCTGGAACATTTTAATCGAATTCATTGAGAATCTCATAAGTGGACACTGGAAAATCAGAGAAATCAACATCCAACAAGATTACATTAGATTTCATGTCATTTGATTCATCTGATATATTTTTCTCATTTTTTTATGGGAGATTTCATCAAAATTGAGTGCACCATTATGAGAAACGACATCTAGTGAAACGATATGAAAAATCGGACAAGTCGTTCCATTATAGGCTTCTTTTGAATTACACCTGGCACAACTGGGTTAATCGTACCGTTACGGTCATTTCCCGGATAAGAGTCTTAACAGCTTTCTTGACCAATATCACGTGATCCGTCATTTCGCTCTGGCTGACGGTTCTTTTCAGAGTTAGGAGGAGTCAGTAGAGCTTCATTTTATGCTGGGATCAGGGCTTTACCTCCAGAATATTCTGTTTATTGGTCATTTATTATTGTCACAATTTCATGTGCATTTAGAAGGATATTTTTTTGCTGTGGACTGGACAATTTACTAATTTTGCATTTTATTAATAATATTAATTTGTTACCCAAAACAGTTTGTTACATGAGGCAAACCAGTTTACAGGCAAGATCAAATTGTTACAGAAGTGACAACTTTCGCTGCAGTAAATTATTCAGTTGGGTTAATATTTTATAAGATATGAATGTACATGGATTCAGTAAGAGTCGTATTGTCAAAATCACAGTTAGTGCCCTTTATGAGCATTGCGTTGCGACATGCAACTGATGGTCGAGAATAGATCTATGTGAAGTTGAGGGCTTCTAGAAACCGCAACCTTATACCCCTCTGGATATCTGAGACTTTAATAATGGTGCAGGACGAAGTCACTCGTTCCACATCTGTTTACGGTGGTGCATCTCAAGGGGCTGAAAAAGGGTGTGAGAAAAAGAAAGGACAGAGGAAGAGCAGTGTTCATGGAGGAATAGTTAAGGTATAACTACCTAATCTATATCTCTGTTGTTAAGGTACTTATTAAGGAAGAGCATTCTAATATATTAAAGCAAACAAGTGTAAACAGGCTATGAGTGGATAAAAAACTGTTTAAATGAAGTTGGTCCAGAAAGAAGCTAAAAGTATGAGATTATGTGTGATTATAAAATATAGTGCTGAAAACAGTATTCTGATACACAAATGGCTGTCTCCCTTCCTTGTCGAAGCTATTTGTGCTTTTTGTAGAATTTGTAGGATATGAAGCAGGCTTCGTTTTTAGCGAATTGTCTAGTTTCCTTGTAATAGGATTACTCGGTAGGAAGTGAAACCAACTCAGCGTTTTAAACGCGATTTAAGAAGGTATTTTGCATGAATAAATCAACATCAACACCGTTGGTCCGTGACATCCCACTTCACATAAAAGGCCGTATTTGAACATGTTCTTCCTTTACAGACACTAGTGGATTGAAATTATCTTTCCAACATCATGTTTGCTGGTCGGTAACGCCACTCTCACTCCTTTTACGATGTTAGGCTTTCTTA